CGAAACTGCGGGATATAGCTAGTAATTTATGAGTACGTTTTCTGTGATAAATTCCTTATGTTTCTGCTGTTATAAGGAATCATTGTGATTTACTCATCGGGAGGATGCTTGAACAATGAGATGGCGTTGCCATAACGATACATCTGTTTCACAAGAACCCTTTCATTTTCATGTAATTAGGGTGAACCAACTTATTTCTTTATTACCATTGCGAATTTAAATGGTGAAGCTGTATTCATAGATATATAGACTTTTAATATTAAAATTCAAAATTCAAAATTCAAAAATCATTTATTCATGTAGGTTATTAATTGGTTGCCTTATCTAAATATTTTGTACTAAGTTTTTTAGTTTACTTACTATTTTTTTTTATTTTAGAAGTAGGGAAACTAATGATAAATGAAATAAAACATTTCTAGATAGTGTATTCAAGATGAAATATACACGAGGTTTCAAGTATTTTTTTATAGGTGAAAATGGTATGGTAGCCCCGCCTGCGCTAACTCTTTCATATTCTTTTTGTTCTTATAGTTTTGTGAAGCTATATCTTGCTTAAATTGCTACTGAAAGCAATATTATATAAATTTACATCAACTAACTCCAGTTATGGAGATTTTGTTAATAAACCAAATTAATAAAGGTAGTAAACGATGGTAACTCGCTCAGTATCATACTGGATTGTAATAACGCTCGGTAATTCAAGTGTTCTTACATTTTACAACAGTGATTATATGAAATTTACCACAAATCCTGCTACTTCCTGACTATTCGTGTTTTACTAATAAAATTACAAAAATAAATATTAATAATGTCAAATATTACTTGAACAAAAATAAAATAAATTTACGATTAATCAAATATATAAAAATACTAATAAAAAAATATAAAAAGAATAATATATATACATACATACATATATAGCAAGCTATATATATATATATATATATATATATATATATATATATATATATATATATATATATAATTTATTTTCATCATTATCATTTATTATCATTTATTTGCATTACTCACAGCACACAAATTATAACATATACATAAAAACGAGACATAAATGATATATATAAGATATTATGAGATATATAAGATAATAATATGATATAGTCTTCCCTCATAGCGGTCCTTAAGAAACACTACAGTGAAAATTGCATTCCTTTGGGTCTAGTAGTTTTGTGTGATACTAGAACAAATATACAGATAGTTAAAACTTCTTATATCAATTCTTTTTTTTAATATTTTCCATGTAAATTGTTCAGTTATAATTATATAGTATATAATATATTAATAAGATATTACTCACTCATAATGTATCTTTCTACAGGCGAAAGGATTTTTAAAACTGGTTAAGTAGTCTTTGAGTTTATCCATTATAAACAAGCAATCAAATCATTTCTCTTTGTATGTATAGATAGAGTAGGACATGGGTACATTTTGTCATGGTCACGCAAAGTAGCGACCAATAGCTAGTATAAATAAAATTTTACGCAACAGAAACTCGTAACCGTCTATAACATAAATCTTTACCCGTTTGTGGTTTATTGATTTATAAACTTAGTTGAAAAGATAGCATCAAATAGCAAAACAATTTCGGCACTGAATAAACATGGTAAGATTCAGCTAGTCTGCTAAATGTATCGGAAAATTACATCGAGGTGCCGACTCGATGGTTCGAGTTATCGATTATCGATTCGTTATCGGCAAATCGATCGGAAGCTTGTACTGAGTTGCGTGGTATAGATTTGATTCGATGATGGGTGTCTAACACAACAATTCGGAACTCGGAGTAATTTCATTTAGTCGAGCATAATGCACTGCATTCGCAAAAACGAAAGATATGTCGCCATTGGCGTTTTTATTTTCCGGGAGGGGGGGGGGGAGTGGAAGAGGGGAGGGTTCTAGTTCCTTAAAAAAGAACACATGGGCTTTCAGACGTGTCTCTGCATATAACTGGAATTGTTCCTCTTAGAACCTGCACTAGATAATTCTAGCTTGGGCACGACCCATCCGGCCCATTGATTATCCATACAATGTAGCATATATCTTATTTTTGAACAACTTCTAATGTTTATAATGTCCGAAAGGGTTCAATTTAATTAAATTTATTTTAATATCTATTTTGAAATATCATAAAAGTTCTAATTAATTTAAAATGAATTTATTAATTATTTATATCAGATCGTAATTGACTAGAAAATGTTGCCATTATGGTGAAAATAATATTCATAAACTTGTTAAGGGCGAGCTTATTACGTAAATAAAGTATAAAAATTAAAAATTAAATGTAAATAGATTTATTGACATTTACGCGCCATGGGAGATGTTGCATGTCACCTGTTATGTCCGATAACGTCCTCTGAGATGTCGTTCGTCTGGCAATAATATCGGCACTAACATAAATTACATAACATTTTTTTTAAGGTACCCGTTTTTTAGTCAACTGAAGTGTTAATACATTTTCAATTTTAACGTAAACAGTAAGCAAAATTTAAAGGCATTTAGGATAAAGTAAGCAAAATTAACGATTAAACTATTAAACTAATTAAGACGAAAATTCAAAAAATAATTTTGAGGTTTAATAATGAGGCTATTGTTTATAAGAGACGGGAATGAATGCGGTCATTTATGTAAAAGTTAATAATTCTAGATGTTATAAATTAATTTAATTGATTCATAAATAAATAAATAAATAATCATTACTGAAACTATAAAAATCAAATTTCTATATGGAAAAAATATTAAGTAAATTATAGAGAGAAAAATGAGATAGAAAATATATATATAGAAGAAAAGAAATAGATATTAAATTCACCCCTTTAGGAGTAACATTTTTAAGCTTTCATGAGCCATTATGTAAATAGATTATTTTATATGTAACTTACAAGTGCAATAAAGAATATATATATGTTGCCGCCATATTTTGCTTAATATACTGTAAAATTTACGTAATACGCTAACAAACAAAACAGAGGAAAATTTCAAAAACGTTTGCTTACGTATTGCTTGTACTATATATACCATGTATTATATATATTATACGTACGTACCATTCATATCATTTGGTTACGATTTTTCTATATAAAAACACACAATTTGTCATTGTAATGGATTAACATGTTTTATTGTGTAAAATACCCCATTTAATACATACATCATAAACATGTAAGTAGGTTCAAATGTAAAACACATCTCTCATAAACTGGGATCCTAGAAACAAACACAAAAATGTAGGTCACATTGAGAGTTGACGCTTTCTTTGAAGGCGTATGTAATACGGGCTTCATAAAATATTTTTTTCCGTTTTACAATAGCAAAAAACTAGTTCATAAAATTTTAGAAAATAGAATTAACAAATAGGTTATAGGTTATTAACATTAAGTGTAGATTTTACAAAAATTCCGCCTTTTATTTATGGGAAAATTTTCTATGGGCAAAACGCGGGAATAAACAATATTAATTGAAATACAAAATGATTGTAAGAGATAAAAATATAGTCTAATTGATATCTTTTGTATAAGAAGTTGGTTAAAAATATTTTGGGTATCAATTCTCGATGACGATATATCTATATGGTGTATTCTAGTTTACCCACAAATTTTAATAATATCGTAATTTAAAGTAACTGAGTTTTCGAATCAGGCAATTAGCTGATTGAGTGGCAGTATTAAAATTTAACGCTTTCATTTTAATTTTGACTGACTTTAGATTACATATTTAGGCTTATGTTACAAACTTTTATGTTCTGCAAAATTGCTAATGGACGTTCAAACGACCGTTTTAAAATTAATCTAATGTAATCTGTAATTAAAATTGATTTTGCGTTGAATCTTATTAAAGATTCTATTGATAATAATTCTAATGAAATAATTTCTAAAGTAAGTATATAATTCATTATTATTTTCTAAATTGAAAATGCTTATTTATGAAAAAAATATTTATGACATAAATATACATGTTTGTGTAGGAGAATTTGTATTTTTGTACATATTAATGGGAGACGGACGTTATGATGTATTGTCGATACAAATACATACATACATACATATTAGTATATACTATATTACGACAAATTATAAAAGTACATGCATAGGTATTTAGATAAAATTTGTCGTAATATATTTACTAATGTTATGGCACGATTTACCATGTATTATAATAAATCAGCAAAATATATGAAATTATATGGAAGACGCTTTTCATTTGCTGTTAACGAAATTCAACTATTGGTATAAAGGTAATTTAAAACTGAAGCTCATCTTTTTATCTAAAAACTCCAGACCAGCTTGCCATTTTTTATTCCTATTCAAATGTCATGCTAGAATGGTTTCAAATTTAATTCGTTTCTAGTAGAAACAATTCCAAAAACCAGAGGGTTTGCAGGCGGTTGCAACGACAAACTTTTCCCTCTGTAAAAATACTTCCGGCCGTTCGCGGCGCGAGACAATAGCACAATGGGCGAACGGGACGCTCGGGAACAATAGTAAATATCGAATAGTAGATATATATTCATGTCATAGTGAATCACCACTCACTATATTAATGTCCGCCGCAGATACCGGTGATGTTCACCGATACCTAATAAAGTTTATTACGTAATACAATACAAAAAGGTGATCAAAAACAGCTTGGTGTATAGTCATTATTTGTGCTTCTTGAATTTCATCCAGATAGAAGAGTCCCGTTTAAATTTATAGTCTTTTTAGTCAAGCAATGGGGTACTAAATTTCATCAATAAAGGCTTTACGATCACGTATCTGAATATTATAGAAAGCTACGTCGAATCGGGCCCTTAAATTCGACTTTCGATGCGATAATATGTCGACGGTTTATTATCGCGGGCGTCCAAACAATGTTTACAGTTATCTATCGGTTTCGTAAATAAACTGTAGAGATTATTCAAACGTGGACTTTTAATGCTGCATACGTTGTAAATAACGTTCGTGAAGCGTATCCGACAGTATTTTAAAATTGTTTTTTTTTTTCAGGTGGCAGTAACAATCGGCAATGGCGTCATCGGTCCGCAAATAGTGTGTGTGTGCGTGTGGAGCCGCGTGGCGATGAGCCGGGCGCGCTCGTAGCCCCTGCCGGCCACATCGGCATGGAGGAGGACGAGCGGCGGCTCTCGTTCCCGCCGCCGGCGCCGCTCAACTCGCCCGGGGAAGAGATCGACGGCTCGCGGCTGCTTGGGGAGATCGTGCGTACACTCGAGGCGACCAACCCGGAGGCGGCCGCGCCGCTGGTCGCTTCGCAGTCTCGGGATGCGCTTGACGTGGAATGCGAGAAGCCGCGGCGCGAGGAGTTGCGTATCCCGCTCGATGGCGTCACGTTTTCGAGTGAGACGACGGGCGGCGGCGGCGGGGGCCGCGACGAGCCTCGCGCCGCCGTCACGCCGTTCACGCGCGAGTCCGCGAGGCGCGCAGGCTCGCGCGGCGCACAGCTTGTGCGTGAATTTGGCTTCATGCCTCGGCGCAGGCTCAGCGTCGAGGACGGTGCTCGCCTGCCGAGAAAGTATGAGCCCTTCCCGCCCAAGCTTTACGGACGACCGCTCGAGGAGATCGACAATTTTATATATGACGAGGTGAGTCTAATTTACTTATTTTTCGATGTATTGTTGTTTTAATTTTCAAAGTGACAAATCATAAGCAGTGAAAGGTGAACGTTTTTTATTGTACGACAGGTTCAAGCTTAAATTTGTTTTTGGACGCTTGTTTGCGTAATGGAAAGTGAGAAGAACTAAGATAAAACGCGGTTTTAAATGTTTTAAATTTAGAAATATTTAGATACATAGTATGTTATATACAAAACAATATATAACAACGGTGAAAGTCTGTCTTTACTTATAATATTTCTATTCAATATTGCTCTGAAATAAAGCATCTATACTATACACATAAATTGACCATATTATCTTGAATTGACATTGTGCCAACTTTGGCTAGAAACGTTTTCTACGAAAATATTACTTGTATTATATCTAGCTACTCATATATTAAATGGAGAAATATAGGTTATATCGCCGTGTGGTCTCGGCATAGAATGGACTATCCCTTTTTTTCTCGTGCGTGTCGTAAGAAGCGACTAAGGTAATTTAATGGTTGAGGAATGAGCAATAGCGTCCTTTTAAAATATAACGTTAATTGCGCTTGCCAATCCGCCTGCCAAGCATAGCAACTACTGGCAAACCACTCTTATGGGGTAGGCCTATGTTTAGCAGTGGTCAGTTAACGGCTGATACGACAATGATGATGATAAGATATACATATTAGGTAATACAAATTTCACTCAGAACATTCAGGAAATAATTAGCTAAATAAATATGAATAGGTAGATAGTTACACAATAATTATGTTTTTTGCATAATAAATATTTTTGTTAGATGAAGAAATTACTTTGAGTCAAACTATGACATGAATTTGATCATAATACGATAACCTTATCACTGAAAAACATAATGGCTTATTTATATTTCTATTTAAATATGTTTATTTTAATAAGTTAACGTATAATTACCGTTAAAAATCAAATTAATAAACGTAGCAATTTAAAAGTAATTTTACTTTGAAAATAAACCTACAAAATACAGTAGCGCTGAGAAAGGAAACCGCATAAACTGCAATTTTCTTCATTATACAGAATTACGTAATATTGAATTTTAGTTGTACAATTGTTAAAGTTGAATGCTTTAGCCCGTATTCCGCAACTATGCCACAAGATAAGTATCACTACATTTCAATACGCCCGTCGTAAAGCGGCATATCTCGTAAAACTATAATCCGGCGTCTCCATTACGCCGTCAATCCGCTCCCGGCATAATAACTCAAAAAGTTGTCGCTCCATAATCATAAAACTCTTTGTACGTTTCTTTTTTTACGGGAAAATTGCGAATGTTCATATTGCGAGATAAATACGTATTTGTGGATGTGATTCCGAGCGTTATTGCTCGGGTTTGTAATGATTGTTTGTTTGTATGCTGTGATGGAAAACGGTGGGTATACCAAATCAAATCATCATCGTTATATGATTTTTATTAGCTACGTAAGATTTAAACGTTGTTACCATTTATTTATTTTACACTTTATTGCACCAAATAAAACAAAAAAATAACAAATACAGTAAATATTAACGAGAAGTGATACAAAAGGCGGCCTTATCGCTAAGCAATTTCTTCCAGACAACCTTTAGGTAGAGGACATTGAGCAAAAGACATTTAGTGCATTTTGTTACCTGTATTAGATTTAATATCATCGTTTATAGATGGAATCAATTTAAGGTATTGTACAGTATGTCAATTTAAGAATTCATTAATAGGATCTCCAAAAATAAAAATTGCCAGACAAAATCTTTATATTAAGAATGGGTAATATATACCAATATCTATATATTTTAGTTACAATATCAGTATGGGCTAAATAACGGATATATTAAATATCGCTTATGTAAGATATATTAACGAAATGAAGAGCTCTGTCTAAATGAATGTCTGACTGGTATGGACGATATGAAATTGAATGATGTAATTCGTGTTTGTGCCGTGAAGCAGTTGTGTTTGTATGCCTGTGTTTTAGTTTGAAGGGTGGGATATGACAATGAAATTACACAGTACATAGGCATAACATGTTAGTCCTCAGAAATGGCATCATGAAGGATATCATGGCATCATGAAGAATACTCTGTTATGTTCATGTCTATAGGCGAGGGTTACCACTTTGCATCAGGTGGGCAGTCCGCTTGTTTGCCATTCTAAGTACATAAAAAAGCTACCACACTAACATAGCGCATTGAGTGAGTATGGGAGGCATAAACTTTTTTGTCGTTTATTTAATTTTTAATTCAAAGATGGTTCACGTCAGGCAGGCGGCCTGTCGTAAAACTATAAGCTTTTTGTAATATGAATAAAAACATATTATGTTGACCCCAAGTAATAATCGAGATAAGGGTAGGCAGACGATTTAATTTATGATTCATGACTGTATCAATATTTTTTACAGTTTTACGTTTTACTTTTTATCTATTCAAATTTTACTCCGTGTATTTATGTAACCAACTATACCTACGTTCACACCCGTTATCAACAGACAGTTTCCCTTCTAATGGCAAATGGTTTTAGGCAGCAACCCTAGCGACTGGGGAGTCCTAACAAGCAAATATGCCTCAATGCATGACCATTTTAACTTAGTCTACAACTGCGAATCGGTTTTCCAAATTTGCAGCATATTACAACGAGGGAAAAGTTCAGATTATATTGGCGAGGCTGACCGTTTGACAGCCATTTAGGAGTGTTGTATGGGGTCGTAAAAGGTAATCGTATAATTATGTCAATGTTGGACAAAAAATATTGCATAGAATGTTTTAATAGATTTACTACATTCATTAAAAGGTATAATCTCCGTAGAAAAAAAAAAAAAAACATTTTATTGTTATGGCTTACATTTCAATATTATTTGAAATTTAGATTATAACTTGAAGTGGAAATTAAAATTAAATTGTAATTCATAATTCTTGTTATAAAAAAATCAATCACTTCACAGATCTAAATACAAAACACAAAACAATTGTCATTTATCTAAACAGAGAAAAAATGAAATACGAAACAAAAATAATGGCTATTTGTCTAAACAAAAAATAAACGCTCAGAAGTATTTCACAGAATTTGACAGCATTTACTCCACCGAAATGACCGTCTGATGGATTAGAATTTCATTTCTGCAATGGTGTAAACAATGAATCTCTAATAAAAAAACAACTGTTTGGAATAAATTCGCTGTGAATTCGTGGAACAAATAAACAAATAAACATTTCTACTAAAAATACATGAATATAAAATATTTTTTTTTAAATACATACAATGGTTTTTAAAGAGTAAATATACGAGTATTTCATATATTGTTTACCTAATTTATTTCTTATGCAGTTGCGCAGTTAGGTGTAAAACTTTAAAATAGTATTAGTTACATAAAACGAGAACATTGTAAGGTAAAGAATTTCATATTTGATTTCGGAGTTATGATGCATCCAATCCGCTCTTTAATTTAACTTTAAAAATAACACTTACTTTTAAAACTGGATATAAAGTTGAGGCGAAGGCCCGGCCAAAGTTATTCAGGCTCAAGGGATCCGTCTGACGGGTTACTTGTTGCGCTCGACCAAGTGTTTGCCACTTCAACAAAGCCATTATTCGTTCCATCGATTTCGATAAATCTAACATAATTTTTTCCTTTGTTATTGTTTCATATGTTTTTTGAATAAAAACATAAAACGTATATAAAAAAATTATAGCTTATTTCTTAGTTTAAATGAATAAAACTTCATAAAAATATAAGCAGGTTTTGATTTAATTATTACAAAAATTATAAACGAAATTAATAATAAATGGAAACATTTAATTAATCTAATTTTGATTTGTAATATTACTAGCTTTTACCCGCAACTTCGTCCCCGTTACCGAGATATATATAGTGATTAGGATAGATAGTAACCTATGTCCTTCTCCATCCCATATAGTTTGAGTATACCAAATTTCATAATTAAATTAATACTTTATTGTACACACTAATTATACATAAAAATATGACAGAGGTAATCAAATGTACAAAGACGAGCTTAATTCTAAAAGAGTTCTCTTCCAGCAAACCCAAAGTAGAAACATCAATGTCAGCTGGTAGAGCGGTGTACAATATTGTGACAATTTTAAAACAAAAGAACTAGACGAACTTAAGTTTATATATAATTATCGTATATTTACATACATATATTTAACAAAAAAAAATTTAAGTGAAGAAAAAATTTCAATAGATTAATTTAGTAACCCTAAACGTATAAACGTTTGAAGCTAGTGTCGTAAAATGTATAATATTGGTGAGGTCCTGATTTTTTTTATGATTTTTGACAGTTGTTTTATACTACATTTACATCATGTTTACTGTAGATCGTCTTTTTTTGAACCATTTCTAAAAGAGAGATTTACAATTCGTCTAAAAATTATTTTGTGGTTATATTTAAACCACTCATTTCCTAAGATCATTATCATTATCAAATAAGCCTTTAACTGTCCACTGCTGAACATACGCCTCCCCCTTGAGGGGTTTTGCCAATAGTTGCCACGTTTGGCAAGCGGATTGGCAACTGCAATTAGACTTTAGAGATGTTTTAAGAAAGACGCTGTAGTCGACTCTGACGACACGGAACGGAACAGGAAGGCGTGGCCTATTCTATTTCGGGACCACACGGTTTAAACATAAGTAAATTATAACTAATAAAATGGACCTTATGTTGTCTGAATAAATAAATACATTGTTATAATATTAAGAAATTATGTACATGAAAATTTGATAATATTTTTTACAACTGACAGGCCTTACTCCTGTATTAATTTAATTTTGTTACGACTGAAGCATTCGTTTCAAAAACCTTCTACGAAAATATAACTGTATTTCATTTCAATAGAATTTAAATACAACGTTAACAAACTCGATTAATTGATGGATTGTTTCAAGTTTTTTTTTTATACCATAGACGTGGCAAATGACTCATTTGGTGGTAAGCGGTTACCGTAGCATATAAACGCCTGCAATACCAGGG